GGGGGGAGGGAGGGTGTGAGAGAGAGAGAGAGAGAGAAAGAGAGAGAGAGAGAGAGAGAAAGGGAGAGAGAGAAAGGGAGAGAGAGAGACTGAGGGGTATAACAAAACAGAGCACGAGCATACGTTGCTGTTAATTTTCAATTATTTTGTCATTAGTTCAAAGGTATTTCGACTCCCGAATATCTCCTGTTTTCCCCGCCCTTGCAGTGTAGCAGGTCACGAATAATTTGATCAGCCACACGGAAGGTCAATGTCAGTACCACAGTAGGGCTCGAATTATAAGCCCGCCCCTCTATGAGTTCTTCCATTGAGTTCTGCGTGCTGGGGGAGGATAAAGGGCTTCGGCTATGTTTGTTTGAATTACAGCAAATCGACATCGGTCACTTAGACCTGGGTAAAAATCAAGATAGACAAACAGACAGAAATAATGATAAGAAAAAGAGTAGTTTACAGTTGATCTTGACAGCGGTGCCCTCCCTCCACCAACAATAGATCTTTGAAATGCGTATTAATGTGCCTAGTAAAACATTAAGCTTAACATCAGCCGCTCTTGAATATTAGCAATATAACGTATTGTGTTTGGTCGCAGGTGCGTTGATTGTAATCATCATAATTCATTTTCTTTGGCAATGGATGTTTTGAATTTAACAAAATAATCCACTGTGCATGACATCAGGTGAGCAAAATGTTAGCAACATAATTCACTGCTCTAGATAACAGGTACGCTAAATGTAAGAAACACAACCATTTGTTAACACGCGCTTTGTGCGTTAGCAACATATTTGTGTCTTTCGGAACAGGTGGTTTGAAAGTTAAATGGTATTGAGTTTAACGCCTCTATCAAGACTCTTTGGCTATTTAAGAGGTGAGACCTCCGAGCCAAACGTCTGTCTACGAAAGGATTGCGCCAAATAGGAAATATGTGTCAAATGCTTTTCCAAGCGACAAAAAGTCGGCTCGAGCTGAGGCTCGAACCCACGGACCCGCAAACTCACGATTATGGGTCCAGTACCAAAACCACTTAGCTCCCAGCGCCTTTGGTTTGAAATTTAACAATATAACATATTTTAAATAACAGAACGTTGGCAGCATCCTTGGAGACAGAAGGTTAGTTGCATAACTCACTATCCTATGTCTTCGACTACAGGTGCTCGAGAAGGGAAATCAAACCCCAGGCTGTCCTGGGGGTGACCGACATCAAGACAGGAAGCAGCAGCAGTGTATGTGGCGTAGAAGTGACCAAAGACAACTGGCAGAAACCGGTTACCATCCCTGTCAAGGCCACTATAGATAAGGTCATCGACAGGGACCAGACCAGAGTTATTCAAGTTTCCATTAGAGTGACTGGCAAGGTATAAATTATCCAACTTTATTTTTGCAGGAGTGCTATGTATGTTTTTTGTCTTTACATGAATAAGTTAAGGATACAGATTCACTCATACAGTATTCTATTTCTTAAGCCGTCCCAACAACAAGAATAAAAGGTGATGTCGGTAAAAATTTTGGAATGCCTCGTTGATCTGGAATCTCGTTCATCCAAACCCTAGCTCGGCATAATTACGCCTTAGACAACCGCGCCCCAATATTCTTAATACTTAACTTTACTTTTATCCGCCGCTTATACCCTTTTGGGGGTCGCGGGAAGAAAGAGACGTCTTTCTGCTACCAGCCGGAGAGCTTGGGTAAGGGGGATGCCATGAGTTGTTAATGTTTCCCTGACTCCATCTATCCAGGTCTTTCTCGGTAGCCCTCCAGCCTTGTTGCCTTCAAATTTTTTATATAGGCACGTTGTGCTGGGTGGTGTGTTGGTAATCGCATGAGATGTCCGAATCATTTGATTCTTTGGTATTGGATGTGATAAATTACATCATTTGTGCCCACCATTTCTCTGATTACTGTGTCTGTGTTTCTAATTTGGTCTCGCCTGGTCTTGTTTACAGCTTTTCTAAGGCATCGCTTTTCACATGTTGTAATTCTTTGCTCTGATGTCTTGTTCGTGGTCCATGTTTGGCATTGGTAGGTCAGTGTTGGGATGAATTTGGTGTTGATCATTTTGAGTTTTGTTGTCATGGGGTTGTTAGGATGTTTCAATAGTGGAGTAAGCTGGTAACTAACATTATTGGCCTTTTGTACTCGTGTATCAATTTCTCTGTTCAGTCACCCATCCTCTGTGAATATTCTTCCGAGGTACTTAAATTCTTGGACCTGTCTGAGACTGTTGTTGATGATGTGTATCCTGAGTGGTCCTGGCTTTCTGCTGTCTCTGTTTTGTTGATGTTGATCTTCATGTCATAGTAGTTGCATTCTTCGTTTAATCTGGTGGTGTGATGTTGGAGACTTCGTTCATTTTTATGTGCCAGGCTTTGGTCATCAACGAAGAGTAATTCATTTAGGGCGTCTGGTTCTGTGTTGGCCTCTTCTGTAATTCTATCCGTATATGATAAATAGTAGTGGTGATAGGACACAACCTTGTCTTACTCCGGATGTTATCTCGAACCATTCTCTGAGTCCCTCCGTTCTTACTGTACTTATGCTGTTCTCGTAAATGGCACGGATTGGCTGGCCTCTTATAGTGTAGTTTTCAAGTTCTTTCCACAGCTTATTTCTGTTCACTCTGTCGAACGCTTAATATTCTTAATAAAGCATTAACTACTTAGGTGTCATAGGTCAAGCAGAATGATCTGCCCTCGGCTATTAGAAACACTTGACCCCGTCTCTGGAGGTTCATTTCCTTTTAAGCAAAGCAGACAGCTAACGAGAAATAACACCCCCCTCTCCCCCTTTCTCTCTATCTCTATCTCTTTCTCTCTCTCTATGTCTCTCTCTGTGTGTGTGTGTGTGTGTGTGTGTGTGTGTGTGTGTGTGTGTGTGTGTGTGTGTGTGTGTCTCCCTCTGTATTTGTGTCTTCCACTCACCTTCCTTTCCTACTTTCTCCCTCACTCATAAACATCACTGAGTGTCAAGCTGGAAACATTTGTAAAAATGCGTACAGTAATATGGTGCTTGTCTACCCCCGTTCAATATCTTCGTGTACGTTATTCTTGGTCTAACCTGCCTCAGCACCATTCTATTTATATAGTGAGAGCAAGATTTCCAAGACCTTTTATGTCTATTTAATTTTTTTTTTAAACGGCTCACTGGAGTTTCTTTCAGCATCACCTCATTTGGTTTATTTTCCTTTTATAAAATTCTCAAATCTCCGAAGAAACCTTATCCCTGCTGCTCTGAGTTTTCTTTGTCGCTACTTTGGGTTATAGTCCAGCATTCACGACCGTGTAGAAGGGTTGACCAGACCTAGCCTTTTAAAACGTTTATGTTGACTGTCTTTGTGACCCTGTCCTACCTCATCTACTCGTTTCATCCTTAAGTTGCACAAAGCACACACACTCTTCTTTTGTGCAAAATGCTACTACTTCAAACACTCACACGCGTACATGTACGCGCATGCACACACACCCATAGACACACACATACACACACACACGCCCATACACACACACATACACACGCACCCATACACACACATATACACACACATACACACATACACACATACACACATACACACACTCACGCACACGCACACACACACACACACACACACACACACACACATACACATAAATACAGAGAGAGAGACACACAGAGAGAGAGGGAGAGACTGAGCGAGAGAGAGAGAGAGAGAGAGAGAGAGAGAGAGAGAGAGAGAGAACAAAACAGTTATCTACATGTTACCATCCTTCATGCAACCCTCCATAGATCACCGGCACCACAGAAACTCACGAGATAGGTAAAGTTCCTGTCAAGGCCATTGACAGAGACCGACGTGCTCAATGCTCATCTGTCAACGACCCTCACATGAAGACCTTCGACGGAGTGTGAGTATCATAGTGTCGGCAAACAGTTCAGTTGTTCTAAGCCCAGAAAACAGTATGTTTTTCAGTCTTTCATTTTTTTAAAATCGTACCTACATAATTTGTGTCTTCCTGCATTTTCTAACCTTAATTGGAATGTGAATTTTAATCAGATATTTCTCGAGTACATACAACAATGGTTTTTGTATCACAGATTAACACATTGCAATAATGTTGTGTGTTTTCCTCCAAAAACTGTTGGCTTAGTACATTTAAACTCCAGCCGATAATATACTGTTTGCTTGCTGAATATTATATTATATGAAGAGAAATTCCTTTGAAGGTAAAATCTGACGACTTTGGATCAATATAAATGTCCTGGAAACTAAAGTAGTTCGATTCAGTGCGACACTAGACCAGTGTAATGTGGAAGGGAGAAAAGTAGTCCTGTAAAGTCGCCGCCCTACCGATAAACAAAAAGGCTGCTCTTATTGGCCCACATGGGCAAATAAGCTGAGGCTAATTGGCCCACATGGGCCATTTAATGCATTGTTTTTCAAAGTATTTCATACATGGTTTTGTCCCAACTTGTTCTCTAACTTCTTAGCTATTGTTCATCTTTTTATTTTTAGCATTAGATTGTAAAGCTATACATTCTCAATTTAAAATATGTGATTGATGGACTAATTTGTTGAGCTATTTTTGAAGATGAGAGGACTTTCGTTCTTTCTCTAGATCTAGCTTTAATAGCTTTTGATTATCAAGATTAGATAAGAAATAATAAATACGGCTATTACTATTAGCATTCTGTATCCTTTATGATAAAAATGAGTTTTTGTTATCTTTTGGGATCTTGCTGGTTTGGGAGTCATTCAAGATCTAGACCTATATTTCCCTAATATTATAGTAGAAATTGACTTACTTTCAGGTGTAAAATATAATATTAACTTAAGCCTTAGAGAAGTGTATAATTAAAATACAAAATAATTTCTCTGATATTTAATGTGGATTTTGCTGTTGTATTGTCATTTAAAATTATCATTTGAGGATGGGGGGGGGGGTTGGGCGCGGCGCCAAACACAGGGGAGATAACTCGCAATTTTGTGGGCAAATAGTAAATGTTCTGGGGGAAATTGTATGTGCCCCTGTGGGCCAATAAGCACTCCGAAACCCCAAAAACCCCACCTTTTTGACACAACATTTACTTTGCTTTTTATTTTTATTTTTTAGAGAAAATTTTCGTAATCGCTTAGAAAGAAGATGAAAACAGCTTCTCCTTCTGTCCACACGGGTTCATTTTGGCATCCGATAACCTTCTCTACGTTGAAAAAGATGGGATGAAAAGAGAGGGAGGGGTTGGAGGTTGGGTGATGTCTAAACAGAACATTAATAATATGTTCATGGCATAAATCGTAGTCCTTTGTGTTAACATTCGACATTTCTCCCTGATTTTTCTCTTCACATATTTTCTGTTGCCTTGTTATCCTCAGTCGATACAACAACTTTGTCCCCGGGGAGTTCGTTCTGTTCAAACACAAGACTTTACCGTATGAGGTACGTACAGGGCAAAGCTCGCTCTACATGGTTCACTCCCCTCTCGTCACCACTTAGATCGTGAAGAGAGAAGGTTCTTGGACCAAGTCTGACAAAGCCAACCTGGGCTGGGTGGAATACCAGAAGGGCGGATATAGTACAAATAGATATACAAATACTCAAAATATTTATGTATATATACTGTAGAGTCAAATAAAACTTGAGAATGCATTCGCCTAATCATCACGTTAATGTCCCGTACAACCCATTCATGCAGCATACCAATCAAAAGCTTATAAATACATTCTGCATCATCTGGCATATTGTTAATAGTTCGTATATGATAGGGGTCGTCAGAGATATGGTCATTCAAAATTAATCTTACTCAATCAGAATTGGCAAAGTTGTGCGAAAGCAAAGAAACTTTAAAGTGCGTTTGCACGTGCATTGAGGTGCATCAACATTGGTGAAATGGATTTATATGGCATGTTAAATGAATGGAAAATGTTGTCTCTGCAACAAACATTATTGTATTACGATAGGGTCAAACAGATTGGAAAAACAGAGTAGTCACAAATCGTACAACGCAAAACATGGATTTAATACATTTTGTATTGTAGATTATATATTAATGAGTCAGATGATGCAGAATCTGTTAACCTTCAAATTCATATGCTGCATGAATTGGTGGTACAAGGTTCTAACATGATGATTAGGTGGATACATTTCGAATTTATTTTGGACGCCACTGTATATATACTGATATATATAT